GCCGCCGCCGCCAGGGGGCGCTGCACGTGCGGCCCCCCCTGCTGTGCAGCACTCCGCACGGGCCGCGCCCCGTACGCCGCTCGGCGCGCCGCAGCATCCTGCCCGAGCTCAGCCCCCTGGTGCTGCTGGGGGATGGGGACGAGGACGAGGAGGGGCGTGCGGAGCCCGCCAGCCTGGTGCTCTTCTCGCCCGGTGAGGAGGAGGAGGAGGAGGAGCAGGGGGGGTGCGCGTCATCCGCCCCCCATTCGCCTGCCGGCTCCCTGTCCCCAGACCGCCGCAGTCTGATGTTACCGGAGGCCATCGAGGCTGCGCTCCACGCCTCCGGGTCCCCGGGGATCTCCATGCGGAGGACAGAGGCAGCCAAAGGGAGCCGCGAGCGCGACGCAGACGTGTGCCTGTGGCAGCCGCTAGTGGTATTGGACACGCAAGCAGTGCCGTTGTGGCTGGCTCGCTTGAAGTCCAGCCAGAAGGCAGCGCAGGCCGTGCCCTCCCGGGGGGACAGCAGTTGCCAGCCACTGGCGTCCCCTTTTGCCCCAACGAAAAAGGAGAAAGGCAGCAAGATGGCTTCCAAAGACGGCAATGGAGGCACCTGCCGGAAGGCCTGCATCAGTGGGTTCAGCAGCACCCGGTGGGGAAAGCAAACGAGGCTTCGTCCGGTTGGAAAGAATAAGAAGAGGTGCCGGCGGCAGGCTAACGGTTCCTTCTTCCAGGAACAGATGAGGGGGAGAGGAGGAGACAATGTGCTGGAGCTGTCATCTCTTCTTGTAAAGGACTGTTCTTTGCTCAACGATTCCCTGAGCTGGAGCAGGGCTCGAGCATCCATGTCCTTTCACAAAAAAAAGAAAGTTGCGGCAGCAGATCATTCCTGCGGTAGCATCCCTTGCACCCCTTCCTTCAAATCCCAGCTTGCAAGGTACCCGAAGACCCCATTCAGCTGCAGCGTTGGTCGCGCGAATTGGCCGGCTTCTCCCATTGTCCTGCTGACGCCCATGAAGTCTCACTCCATCCTGGAGGTGATGCTCACGGATGCAGAGAAGGTGTATGGGGAGTGCAAGCAGGAAGGCCCCATTTCCTTTGAAAAATGCATTCCCCCCCAGAAAATGAAGAAGTGTAAGAAGATCGGGGAAGGGGTATTTGGAGAAGTTTTCCAGACGGAGAGCGAGAGAGGACCTGTGGCCTTAAAAATTATTCCCATTGAAGGGAGTGAGAAAGTCAATGGGGAGGCTCAGAAAAGCTTCAGTGAGATCTTGCCAGAGATAATCATCTCCAAGGAGCTCAGCCTTCTGTCTCAAGAGATTGTAAGCCAGACTGTGGGGTTCATTGGCTTGTACTCTGTGCACTGTGTCCAGGGGGCCTATCCGGAGCATCTCCTGAAAGCCTGGGACACGTACCACAAACAGACAGGATCTGAAAACGATCGGCCAGACCTGTTTGGAGATCAGCAGTTCTTCATGGTTTTGGAGTTTGAATTTGGAGGCAGCAACTTGGAGACGATGAAGACCATAAGTTCAGTGCTAACAGCAAAGAGCATCCTGCATCAAGTTGCTGCATCCTTGGCTGTGGCCGAGGAGGTGCTGTGTTTTGAGCACAGAGACTTGCACTGGGGGAACGTTCTTGTCAAGAAAACTAACGTCAAAGAGCTCAGTTACATGCTGAACGGAACGACTTACACGATCCCCACACACGGGGTCCATGTCAGCATCATAGATTACACACTCTCTAGACTGGAAAAAGATGGGTTAACTGTTTTTTGTGACCTTTCTACTGATGAAGACCTGTTCCAAGGGACGGGAGACTACCAGTTTGATATCTACAGGAAGATGAAAGAGGAGAATTCCAACAGCTGGTCTGACTATCACCCTCACAGCAACGTACTGTGGTTGCACTACTTGGCAGACAAGCTTCTGAATAGCATGGGCCATGCACATAAGCCGACAACCTCTAGCCAAAGAGCAGTAAAGAAAAGACTCCAAAACTTCCATAACGAAGTACTGAATTTTAGCTCAGCTCAGGACGTTCTACACAACAGCAGACTTTTCCAGTGACCAAATACATTTGTCCTTCGCTGCATTTTCAGAGCCTTGTTATGGTACTGACAATTTTTTGGCACAAATGTCATCCGTCTAATTACTATGTCCGTGACTGATAAATGGGGGCTTTGTTTTTACTGTAGTCCGTATGGATTTTAGCATTTAAAGCTAAGCCTGAAGATCTGCTGTTGCACATGCACAAAAAATGAAGCACTGAAACATTTCATGGTCGGATATTAAAAGCAGTATTCCTATCTGTTCAATTTTTTACTTTGAACTCAGTCAGTTAACTTAAAGGAACTTTCAGTTCTTCTTAAACTGCTTTTCTACTTTTAATCTTAGTTCATTAAAACAAAAAATTTAATTTTAATGCACTTCACTATTATGCCATGTTTCTCTGCGCCATGCAGATATGGCCAACTATTAGCGCACTTTGGGGTACTTGTTCAGTTTAGACACTCAATTTTTTTTATCCTGGCAAACTTTACAGTTAACTTGGGAATAATTTATTACAGTAGGGATATATTAAAATGCATTGTGCAAGGCATATTGGAGACCATGTGCTTATCAGTACAGGTTTGACCTGATTCCACTAAAGACAAGGAAATTGGATCTGGAAAGAGTAGTGAAAAAAAGAAGTTACCTGTTTTCCAGTTGCGTTTCTTATACTCGTTACGTTACGACCTTGTATGCTGATGGGAACCAAAATCTGTAATCCAATTGGAGCTCTGAAGCTGTTTTCGCCATTTATCTACAAAGGGAAATGCACAAAGATGAATGCTAACCCTCTTGTCTATTTACCTTGGAAGTGTAACTCAGTGCCACTGAATTTGTACTTACGTTAAACTGGATCTCTCTGTTCTTGGAGATCCCTTGGCTAACATTCACGTATATTATAGATGTTGGCCTGTAGACAAAAATTATTAACACTGCAAGGTCCATCTAGTCTAGTTCATTTATCTGGCTCTATTGGTAGTAGGTATTAAACGAGAGAGAGAGAAAGTTGCCTTGTATCCAATTTTAGGAAAAGTGTCATGTTTATCTACAATGAAAGTTCATTCTGTCCTGAAATCTAGATATTTTTAAGGTTAAATAGCTTCAGGTTGGAAGCGCATAGTTGCAACATATTCTCACAGCACAAACAAAGTATTTGTCCTCAGTGGTACGGGTAACTGACAGTTAAGTGAACGACATTTCAAAAAACGATTTTGGTAAAGCCTCACCTGGGATTTCATGCTCCCTCCCACCCACCCTTGCAAATAGAATAGTGTTAGCAAGAGCATTTTGTTATTTAAAACTTACTTGGTAAGGACTGCGCTGAAGGCGTATTTGACAGGAAGGGCGTGTTCAATTGGACTGTTGCTATCTTCGTTTATGCTGAGGGTTAAGTGACATCGTGTTTATTTCCTGCCTGCACTGCACTGAGCGGTCTGACTTTCACTAAAACTTCTATATGGTTCTACTGGGGACTTTGCATAAGGGGAAAGAAGAGAATTATTGCTTCTGTGCAGCAGCCTGCATAGAGACAGGCAAGTGCAGCTATCCATTCTGCCTTCTCTCTGGACAGGGGGGAGATGCTAGAACGGTCAGAGCTCCAACAGTGCTATATATTTGAATGCTAATGTTGCCTTTAGCACTTCTGTTGCCACACACCTCAAACAGGGCTCATCCCTATCAAGGACCAGTGATTAAGGGTGCACCGATAACGATATTCTTGGCTGAAACCGATAGCCGATAATGTTAATTGTCCTTTTATCAGTGCTGATCCGATATGCAACCGGTATATCAGTGCACCTCTACCAGTGATGTTCCCGCATGTGCAGAGAGCTTGCCGGTATGTTATACTCCCACAGAAAGCTTCTGTTTGCAATGTAATATGGCCACATATGACATCTTTAGTGCCCTAATTATTAAAGATTGCTAGCACTGGAACAACATCTAGACTAGCCTTTTTCTATGCACTTAGAAACCTAACTCAAGTTTTAACATTTAAACTGGTGGTATGATTTTTTCTGTCTGTCTTGCTTGAAAGTGTTGATAGGGAGATCAGCCACAGTGATTTTTTTTTTTGTGTGCCATCTGCAAGGTACAAATATTGCCTGAAAAAAGGGGGCCAGTAGAGGAACAGGCTTTCACAGGCTTCTCATGAAGAAGCATTAAAGAACTAGTGGGAACTCCCATGATTCCTCTCTAGTTTGCATTAGGGCTCGGGAAGGAAAGCAGCAGTACTTACTTGGTGACGTTAACAGTGATGTTTGCAAGCTTGTATGGAACTAGAGTTTTATCTAGTTGCCAAATCATTGCAAAATTTGCCTGTTTTGAAGAAAAACACGCATGTATTAAAATGAAAAACAAATACACAAAGCATTTTTTTTTATATTCACTGAAAACTTCTTTTAAAACAAAGATGGAGTTGGGTAATATATTTCACTGCCCACTTTTCCCTCCAGTGTGGGATAAACACTACTGTGCGTGACCAAAAAACAGCCAAGTTACAGTTGTGTGCAATAAATAATCAGCTGTCTGGACGTGATGTGCAGTGACAATGACCCATGCAAGAAAAGAACTGAGGCCATGGCCCAACTGAAAGGAGCACTTGTTAAAAATCTAATGGGCACTGGGAAGGGAATGGAAATACTGAAAACAACTTACGGTCCCCTTGAATGTTGGGTGTCCAATGTCACAAATGGATGAGAAGGAGGAGGTGGATGGTTTTGGAGGATCACAACGAATAGCAGGAGAAGACGGCTGGCAAAATAATAAATGTTTCTTAAAATATATTTGAAGGTGGGGGGGACAGACTGGAAAATTTCACTCGCTGCTGCCTACTTCCACCAAATTAATTTCTGGCTTAGATGTAAATAGCTTATGTCACAACATAGACGTCTTGCAGATCTGAACAGGGGATCCCTGTGGCTCTAATTGCAAGGCTGCTCTGGTGTTTCCCTTTGTTGTTTCTTTGTCACCCCTCCTCTTAGGATCTTAGATCAAGTATTTTCAACACCGGCTGTGGGACTAATACAAAACAGGCAGGTAAGTCTCAAGCTGCCAAAACACGTTCTTTACATAAAATGAGTTGAATAAGAGGTTGAGACAGGAGTAAGTAACAGACTGGTTTCTGTTTTAAGAAAAAGATCAAGGGTTTTGTGGCCTCAAACATTACAGAAGGATACAAGCAAACTACTGCTGCTGCTATTTACGGCCTTGCTTGGCTTGGAAACAGTCCAGTCCTTAAAGGCTTCTATTCTTTTGCCCTTTATACAAACAGCAAGTTGAAATGTCTCACCAGTTTCAACACAGCAGCGATCCCTTTGCATGATGAAGTGTATTACAACTACGTATCTTTATATGCTCCCATTTTTTATTTACATCATTGCTGAATGAACCACGTGGGGGCTGGGTAATTCCATACAACCTGGATAGTTTATGGATATATTGCATCTATTTCCCCCCATGCTGTATCTACTGTCTTAATACACACAGTAAATGTGATGGAGAAATTAGCTCAAGATCTGCCTCGTCAGCCCTAGAGGTAGGAGGTCCAAATTTGCTTAGCCAGTCTGTTTTTAGCCAAACAGCTGCTCTGTGGTCTTACCTCAGGAATCATCTTTTTAAACTGTAGATTTGTAGGGTAAGTCAGGACCAGAGTTGTAAGGTAGGAGTCATCTCCACTGTTAGTTAAAGAAATGCTCAGGGTCAGCTCCTTGGTGTGGCCCACAACTAATTCCCTATAAATAGGCACAAAATTAAAATAGATGCATTATCTGCTAACAGCATTTTACATAATAAGAACTGCTACATGAGATCAAAAGACTGATCAAGTCCAATGTTGTGCCTGTCGTAATGGCGACTGCCTTACGCCTGTTGGTTTGATCACTGGCTTCCTTGAGATTTCCAGCGGGGTTCTCACCATCTCCTTGGAAGGCAGGTAGTTTCAGTGTTAAACAGATACTAGCCTTAGGGCAAATTTGGTGGGGTTTGATGTAACAAAGGGAGACCAAATCTAGCAATCTCATCCGATTCACTGAATAGAATGCCTTACAGCAAAATGTTTACAGGTATTGTAACAGTGCTAAGAAAGAAATCTGTACAATAATATTCTTTAAACTTACAGGCAGGCTGAGGATGAGTGAGAGTCACAGTGAAGTTGACTTATCAAGGTTAAGTTGGCAGCACAGGTGGCCTTGTTATTACAGTCCTTCTTGTAAGGCAGCTGAAATTAAAGAATGCAGTCAAAACTACCTGGTTTTAACAGCATTGATTTCTTTTCCTCTAATTTATATTCACAGGAAACAGGATCAGACCACAACTGGACTCAGGTGTGTAAAGGGAATATTGCCAATATTTTATCCTCCAGTATAAATCCCACTTCTAAGACCAATACCTCTGTAGCAGTTCAGTCTTAATTAACCAACAACTGATGGGTGCAGAAGTACTGCTATAACAGTGTCACCCTCTTGCAATTCTAATGAATTATTCCTAGCAATGGTTCTCAGCAGCATGGTTCTAAATAATCCTGAGTCGTCTCTTGTTGATGCAGGTTGTATCTCCACTTTGCTTGTGCGTAAACCAAGGCACAGGTAAGACAAGTGACTTGACAAAGTCACACAGTAAGTCAGCAGCGGAGCAGAAAACTGGACCTTGGATCCAGATTCTCCCCACATAAAATATACATGTTTCCTGCTGAGAGAAGAACTAGACCCTAAAAGTTCCTTTTCTGAGTCTGCTAAGACTATAGGCCCTCAAGTGGGAGATGAGGAAAGGACATGCAGAAGACAAGAAAAACACAATGCCAAGCCTTTTTTAAGGGGAAAGGTTTGACTATTAGAGAAGAGGGTCAGCCCCTGGCTAGAAGACTTTTATTTACCTGAAAATACACGTTAGATTCACTGTATCTATCCAGCATAGGAGCAGCATGATCCATGATCTCTGTTTCATAATGGAGCTGGTAACTAACCTTAAGAGTAATGCTGGAGAAACAGTTATAGTCACACAGCTGTAACAAAGGAGAAAAACAAGTTGCTGTGACCGGTGCCCGGGCTGTTGGAAGGCCGAGCAGCATTTGTACATCACTCACTCTGGCTGGCTGGCCTGCATCCTAATGTACCATATTCCACACGACGTCAGGAAAAAACATATTCATTCGAAAGACTGTGACTTACTCAAAATACCGAGCCATTTCATAAAGGGTAAAATATACAGTCTCCTTGGGAGACACGACCGACATCCCAGAATTCCAGACAGTGCCTTGAAACTAAATGTTCCTGTTCAGTTACTCAGCGATCCCGTATTCACCCAAAGCTGTACCAGTCAGCTGCAACAGACACAAAAAACCACTGGCGAACGCTGCCTGTTTCTAGGGGAGCAGGGTGGAAAATATCAGCCTTGGCACTTGGATACATTTTTCATTCATACATTTCCAAACCATTTACAAGCATGGAAGAAGGCCATTCTAATCTACAGGTGGAGACGTTGTGCAAGGAAGCACTGAAATGACTTAAATCAGGCGACACTGGGCTCAGGGGAGATCGGGGAACAGTCCCGCATACAATCCCCTAGGCTGCAATGCTGCATGCTCTCACTACAAAAGCTGTGCGTACATACAGGTAAAGAGCGGTGTTAGATAAATAGGGCCTGGAGTTAGATAAAGGAGGCCTACCACCTACTTCTGGACTGGCATACAAGGCATCTCCTCCTCGGCTGCAAAATCTGCTTGACCCTTCAGAAAAGGAGCTTTTTCCTTTTGGCTCTTTTGCTCATAGCCTAAAAGCAAGTCTTCCTGGAATAAAACTCCATCCCTTCCCAATATTGCCTGTGTTACACACCGGGTTTGTCCTCAGTCAGAGTCTACAGCTAATCTGTTCCCTTTTGTGCTTTTTCATGTTGCATTTTCCAGAGGGAAATCTCAGGGCATCTGCTCTGCTGACACAACTGGTCTCCCCCAACAGCTGTTTGTGCAAGGCAAGCATGGACACTTCACCGCTGTAAAAGTGACCCCATCATAGTGTGCTCAAATCACCTACCAATACATAGAACTGCAGCTCAGAGCATGTTGAGTTACTGGCAAAGACTTCACTCAGTGAGGTTTTCTGATCCTCAAACTGGGCTCTTTTCTTCTGCATTTTCCAGTCTAAGTCCACTGTGTAGCGAATGTATGAATGCAAACTCCCTGGGAACACAGATTGGAGTTTCTTGCAAAGGTAGAACAAGTTTGGGGGGAACCAATGTGAATGAAGTGCAATTGTGAACTCCGTGTTGTACACTCACAGGTTGAATTTGGGGGGCAAAATGAGGTAGTAAATTTCCAAGCTCTGTCCCCAAACCAAGCAAAGTACCCACACTTCTAATGTGCGAGTTCCTCTGCTGTAGGCTCTTAGATACAGCTGACCTGGCTATCAAAGGTGCACGAAATGTCCTCTCCCACACGCAAAAGCACCACATCTCACGTTTGATACTAAGGAATGGGATAATTCTGCCTCGGGTGCAACTGCAATCTCTCCCCAGGTATACACATCATAGCCACAGTTAGGCAGGTAAAAGATAAGCAACCATGAATGATGCCCTTGATAGCAGGAAGGACAAAGACTTAGAGCCACTCTGGCTACTGGAGTAAGTAACTGGGCTTCTACTAGCCTCTGTCAAGCAGTGTCTTCCCTCAAAAGTGAATCTGGCTCCTTGATTTCCAGCTGAAGAAATTATCCCTCTTCCCTTAAGCACTACCTAGACACATCACAAATATAGCATACAGAACAGCCACCGGGGCTCGAGTGCCAAACATTTAGATAGCCAGGTCTGCAAATGACAGTCTCATTGCAATTCTCATTTCATTACCTTGCTGGGATGCTTTCAGTGGTGAGATTATGTTAAAGCACAATTCTGCTGTAATGATGCTGCTGTTGTCCAAGACTAATATTTCTTCTGGGGTGAATTTCATAGTGATGTTAAAGTTGATAATTGGTCTGGACCTAGTGGGGAGAGAACGGGAGCTGGGGAGTAAGTACACGAAATGGAAGCAAGTGTAATTTACAGACTGATATTTTTCAAGGGACGTTCTGGGAGCTCTTATCAAGAGAAAATAAGGAAAGTCAACTGCCCCCATGCCCTTTTACCTGATATTCTCTGCCTGTCAGAAATCTCAACAGACAGGCAAAGTGGAGCCAGACTTGCCTACTCTGGGAATATCCAGTGGTGGCTAGAGCTGTCCACAGTGCTTTTATGTGTACAGCGACGAAGCACAGATGACCAAAATCCACCAACACAGTGAGCCAGGAGCTTCAAAACCATGTACCTTTATCTCTATTGGGTTTGTCAGGTCAAGTCAGATGCACAGTGGTGTAAACTCTCAAATGTCCCTTTCCGATTTATCTTCCAAATCGGAAAATGGAGTACCAATTGCACCTGTGACCTCACCCTTTGTAAAAAGATAAACTATGTCTGATCCTTTGTCAAAATGTACTTCCCTTAAAGCCACTTAGCTGTCTACGTACACCCTGCACTCCTTAAACAGACTCTTGTGTAAATGGCCCAAACTGAGCCAACAGAGGTCAGGAAAACAGACCTTACGACGACAGGCTGAGAGCCACGGAGCTCTTTAGCGTGGAAAAGTGCAGGCTCAGGGGTGATCTGAAGGCCATCTATAAGCTTATCAGGGGTGACCACCAGTTTCTGGGGGAAGGTCTGTTCACCAGAGCACCCCAAGGGATGACGAGGTCGAACAGTTATAAACTACTGCGAGACCGTTTCAGGCTGGACATAAGGAAGAATTTCTTTACTGTCCGAGCCCCCAAGGTCTGGAACAGCCTGCCATCGGGGGTGGTTCAAGCACCTACATTGAACACCTTCAAGAGTAAATTGGATGCTTATCTTGCTGGGATCCTATGACCCCAGCTGACTACATGCCCTTCGGGCGGGGGACTGGACTCGATGATCTTCTGAGGTCCCTTCCAGCCCAAATGTCCATGAAATCTATGAAACAGAACAGCGGACATAAAGACAGGGGGAAAGCAGGGCCTGTCTTAATTGATTCATATTTTATAACTGATACATGGAGGGTCTAAGGCAAAAAGCTTCTAAGTTGTATACAGAATTTATATGAAATAAAGAATGCTCCTTTAATCTTTCTGGCGCTGGAATGAGTCATGTATATCTACACTGGCGCTTAACCCCTGCTAGAAACACTGAACAATACCCAGGATATGGATTCTACACGTTCTGGAGTCTAAAATCTCTGAAAGACCGTGAGGGAGCAATCTCTACCTACCGGAGCACAACAACACTTCCTAATGATCCCACTGTGATATCTGTGAGACCATCGGCGGTGAGGTCAAAGCCACCATCAATGGATTGTCCAAAATACTGGAGTCGTGGAGAAACTTCAACTGCCCTTATCCTCTGGAGGAAGAAAAGGAAGTCAGTAGACCTAAGGTGGGCTGTTTCTCCAAATCTTTGCAACATGCAATAGTTCCCCTTGGGCCACCCTGTCACATTTCTAATATGTGCAGGAAAGCTAGCTAATCACTGCCAGCAATACACAAGCAGACCTGCCCAGGAATATTGAAGCGCTCTCTACCCCACTGAAGCCACAGGATTCGTGCAGGGCACTCCTACCTGAGAAAAGGGGCTCCTGATTCCATCATGATTGCCATTAAAGATGTAAACGCTGCCGAAAGCAGAAGAAGATGAAAACTGGTCTTCCAGGGGAGCTCCAACAGCAACGTCCACATACCCATCCCTACTGATGTCTCCAATGCTGGCCAGGGCAAACCCAAACCTTGCAAAAGCAGATAGCAGCTGGACGTGCAAGTGTCCTGCCAAGGTGAAGCTACCACTCTGAAAAACAGCCTGGAGGTTATTCCTGTTGCAGCAAGTGCAGTGAAAGCAGTTTCTTTAATGAAGAAAAATGACAGTGCTTGTTAAAGATAAACAGCAAAGCTTTCAACAGGGCATTTTCCTGTTCAAGGGCCCAGACACCATGCAGATGGGAGTCTTATTCCTCCCCATGGAAACTCTGGATTTCTGGAAACTCTGGAAATCATGGAAACAACAGGAGCAGAGGCAGGGTCTACATGGGATGAATTACTAATAAAAATGGCTGAGAAATTGAAAATCAGTAGTTCCTCTCCCTACTGACCAACACCCACACCTACCTATCTATCTTGCGCTGCTGCCCATCTCTGTACTCTGCGAGTGCCTCCCATGTAAATCCATTAGCAACAACAGAGACACCAAACAACAGTGATGACTATCACCCTTTCTGGCCTGCTTTTCCAGATATAAGCCACAGGAGCATTTGGCCTTTGAAGGACGCCTTGAATGTGAGGTGGGGCCACCAGGTGTTTTCTGCCACCCTGGACATGTCCTGAGCAAGCTTTCACAGCAGCTTCTGCACACAGATTTTACTCGTCTAAATTTGCAGTTAAATTGCATTCTGTCCTTGTTCAGCTGTACTCGGTCAGGCCACCTCCCCGGAGTAAGCAAGGCTTGGGAAGTATCAGCAATGCCAACAGCTCTTGCAAGGGAAACAGAGAACCCCCGAAAAACAAAGGAGGAACAGATTGCCATGTATTTTGCCTAAAAATGTAAAAGTATTTGAAATGCAAATTTAAAAGGCCGCAATGACCTTTCCTTTTTTAAACAGAAGATTGATAGCTCCCTTTTAAAGTTTGGTTTCAGTCCAGTTGGTCTTTAATAACTAGGAACAGCATGTTCTATAGCACAGGATTTCAAGGCAAAGACCGGGGACTAGAGCTGGGGTGCAAGGCATTTACCCATCCCTTCTATCATACTGGGGATAGCTGGTAGGCCTCCCCAGATCCTAGTTTTGCAAAAGTTCCCAGGAATTAGTTCCAAGAGCAGCTGTGACACATCCATTTATTGCAATTGTTACAAGGAATCCTCTATGCAGGAGTGTAGGTTTCTTTGTGCTCTGGGACATGGACGAGAGACAGAAACAATTTCACAAACATCTGTTTTTCATCAGGCCTTGGAATAAATCTACATCAGGCCATTATAGTCTCTTTACTTCCATTAGTCTGTCTTTCACAGTCCAGTAGCTGAGGCAGGACAGATCATTTCAGTCTGCAGCCCAAGACACAGTTCATGAGACACCAAATAGATTTATATAGAGACTAGATGGAAAGCACCGAGGGTCAGGCTCCAATTTGTCACCACCAACATAGAGTCCTAGAAGAATTTCTATCGGGAAGCCCCCACCCAGCAAGAGCTGCACAAATCAGTGTTAGTGCTGCTACCAATGTCTTTACCTCCTTCTCTAGACGATACACATAAACTCTGCCTTCTTCCCCATGGATATGATACAACGGAGCTCCCACAAGAAGAAGGTCTGTCACCCCATCCTGGTCCAGGTCCACTGGGCACAGCTCCGAGCCAAAATAAGACCCAACCTGTGCTCCAGACAGACAGACAGACAGATTTTACACTAGGATTTCCCATAAATAACTCCGCAGATCTATATAGCATACTCTGTGCATGTGAAGGTGCTAATCAGAGGTTCTCCCCAACCTCCTCAAGTCATCTATCTATGTATATAGGTTATTTCACTATCCCATACCAATACACAATGCAGCCATCTCCAAGGATGGATCCAGTTACTGCCAGCATCACTATACCAGAATCTTTTTCACAGGCAAAGAAACACAGTTTATCTGCAGAATGTAACTAGAGATTTTTCTTTTTTGAGAGTATAAGAAAGCAGTATGGAATTAAAGTACAACCCCATTTATCTGTACTTCTTTCAGACCTTATTAATTTCCAAACCACAGTTCAATCTTCTACCCGGTGTTTTTTTTCCTCCCAGATAACACCCATTTCCTGAATTTTCCAACTGAGAATCTGCCCCAAACGTTTTCATTTCAGCTGATCTCATACAAGAAATGTAGGGAAAATTCTAATTAAAAGACAATGGTCCGGAATGGCTGGGCTGAAATAACAGTTGATGCAATATTGTACATTAATAGTAATAATGATACAATGAGCCAGTCTACTCAGCTGCTAGTCTACACGCTACTAGTCTCCACTTTGTCAACCCACTTAGCCGATCACCGCAGTGTGAGTGAAGCACAGTACCTGTTCTCCGTGCAATGTTTCCTTCAAGCGATCTTTTTGAAACACCAGCACTTTCCCCGTCATACTGTGACGTGGTGCTCCAGAAACGTATAAGGCACCATGCTGTGCACTCACCCCAGCCACGCTATACCCTGGTGCAATGAGGCAACAAACAAAAATTACAGGTGGTTGTTACTGAACTCCTCTTGAGTCACAAAGCCCACGCCACAGTATCTGCATCTGGTGTTTTGGCTTGTTGATAGAGACAAGCCATGATCTATGCCTGGAGCACAAGGTTTGAGACTGCTCTTGGTCCATGGTTTTGGTGCAAGGCCCTCTCATTAAAAAAAATGCTGATTAGGAAGTAAAAGGAGATAGAACTTATCTTGAGAGAAAATGACAGCAAAGCTCTGAAGTCATTCCTGTTAACAGTTTGCATGGCCTGGCCTCTTGAACGAATTTGCCTTGGAGGGTGCCATAAACTGCAGCACTCCATATAAATGGCTCTGCAATAGCATCAATCAAGGCCTTGATGGTCCTTAGCATTAAAGAACCATTCCTAAAAGGCTATCTGAAATGTCCACGTGGGTTCAAACTGGCCGTTACCGCTTGAGGCTGGCAGGTTTAAAAGCCATCACAAAGATGAAGGAGTTTCCTTACTGCATGTGGGATTTACAGCAGAATGTTTATGGGATTTACATGACAGAAGAGGGGTTATTAGGGGGTGGGCAAGATCTCAGATACGACAACCTGGAGTTGAGGGTTCCAAAACCTGAAATGGAAAGGTTTTGGATGCTAAGACCAATATCAGGAGATATATGACTCACAAAGCTATAAAATGCTTCTGTGAATAAGCACAATCTGACACCTCTCCATGCCAAGTTGTGTATCGATCCTGGAGCTCTTTATTCTCTAGACCCCATTGCAAATGCCATTTATTTTAAGGGCTGTTACACAGTACACTTAATGCCAGAGGGTATTAATGGGACACCAGTGAGAATGACAATAATGCTGTTGGAAACAAGAGTGGAAGTGCGCTTTTACCAGACTCTTCCCTTGCATCGGCAAGTGCCAGTATGCTCTGCTGGTCCTCAGGTTAACTCTTGCCACACTGGCATACCATCTGCTAAACTCAACACACAGATATATTTGGCCTTCTTCTGTTAATATGAGTGGGAGCAGAATCAAATTATTTCAGGGTAGGTGGAGTTTAGTATTTACCCAGGTAACTGTATTGTGCTCCTTTGACTTCATCCTTGGATTCATTCAGGAAAACTGCTGTCTTAGTGACTGGTTCGTACCTCAGGACTCCACCAGACCCATCAAAGGCCCCCACAGCACCAAGCAGCAGGTCTTGCTGCAGAATGAACGTGCGCCAAGTTAAGAAAGAGGAACAAACTACAGTTCTTTGCTCTTCTTTTGCACCTTTTTTGCAAAGCGCTCCAGTGAACATCAGTGTTTTCAAGCTCCCCCCCCAAGTCCCGGGAGTGAAGCCCGTTTGAATATTCCCATTTCAGAATCGGGGAACGTGAGGTGCAGAGCAGAGAGAAGGCCTAGCCCAGGATCAAATAAAAAGCAGCGGAGCTGGAAACCAAGCCTGGATCTCCTGATTCCCAGCCCAAAGCATGAAACCCAGAAAGTTTTGGAAAAGCTCCAGCAGTTGGTAGCAAACAGGAGCCTGAATCAGCAGGGAGTTCAGTTTTAAATGGGACCAGCAGCACTGGAGAAGTTCCAGGGTATTTCTGTGAAACTTACTGCTGCAGGAACTCTGCATCAGATGCTACAGAGGGATGATAAAATAGCTTTGGCAACGGACAACAGCAGCAACTATACATGCTAAAGTATCAAGGGGAAGCAGAAGTTTTAGGCATGAACAAATAAACTGTGTAAGAGAGGTAAACACAGCACACACTTGCCTTGTTGAAAATCTGGGCACTGAAACCAGCTTGCGCCAACTCATATTCCATAGCATCACCTGCAGTACCTGAGAGTAAGACAAGGACAGAGTGAGCCATTTCCTCATCACAATGCAGGCAGGATTAAAGGCAGAGGTTTCTCCTCACCTTCTATGGGAATGATTTTCTGCTGTAGCATTGCAAGCAGCCCATCTAAATCAGAATAGTTGGTCACCCGAAACAAATGCATCTCATCTGGGTCTGAGGCAATTAGCCGCAACTCATCTAGGGCCTTTGGTTTGTTAAAGGCATTTCCCACCTGTCAGAAAAAAGTTCGGAGACTCACATCCGTGAACAACTAGCCCTTTAAGGAAAGAACAGTGACTTTGCTGACCTCCATATGCTTGGGGCTTTGATACCACGGGAATTTGTATACAGGGACTCAGTCCTGCGACCTCCACACTGCTCTCAGCAGCTGCAATTTTTATGGAAGTTAACAGGCAGGATGTGCTCAGTGTCTCAGAGGACCTGGCTGGCATCATGTCTGGAGTAACACCACTGGCATCAGTTATCTGAAACACATGTTCCCTGGGTTTCATCTGGTAGGTAGTGAAGGCAGTTGAGGTTGGGGAAGGGAGTTTACATGAGACTTAACACTGCAGTACTCTACTGAGGAGTCTGGGATCTTATCTGCTTTGACAAGGTTTATTTGTCTTTGATTTATCTATGTTTGTAGAGGCTCATTGCTGTCATTTACTGCATCAGTTCTGTCTTTTCTTTCCCAGTCCAGTGAGGGATGCCAGCTATGATTAGGACCAGATGAGAGCAGGATCTCCTGGATCTAAACATCTAAACGTACCCCGATGGCATAGCGGTCAATTCCTGCCATACTGGATGAGCTGATCACATCCATTAAGTTCAGTGGATCCATAAATATTTCCCCATCTGTCAGCACAAGCATGATCTTGACAGCATTTTTCTGGGACCCTCGATCCTCACTGAAGATAAAGTCCCTGTTAAAATTGTCAAGAAATGAGTGCTTGTGGTGAGTGGAACAAAAAGAAATTTCTGCCTAACAATCATTGTGAACAGCAGAGAGGGGATTATGTTACTCTGGACTTTTCCCTTCCATGTTCACATAACTCAAAACAAATATGGCCATCCAGACTTTTTTTTCCTTGCAGTCAATGTAGTGCTTACGCAATGTAGAAGGTCAACAGCGTAGGAGAGAAGTCTCTGATTAGTCTGTAAATCCCAGCTCCCTACTCTAATGGCAGCAGTAAAAAAATTAACGACCACGGTAACTTCAGTACTTCTGCTCCATAAGCACAGCTCTGATGAAAGCTTTCCCAGTTACTACACCAGTCTAGACTGGATTTGAATATGCAGTCTACAAGTGAAAAGCCCCATGCACCATTTCTCAATTGCTAGGGCATCCTTACTGAGAAGGACACATACAGGCTAAGTAATTGTACCCTAGCTAGCCCCAAATCCTGGTCCTGCTCATCAGGTTTGTACTGTGCATTCAGAGGGCTCTAATTCTTTTCTCCATTTCTTTCCAAGGGCCCCAAAAGGAGGGAGAAGTCTCTGGCACTGCCAGCTGCTCTGAAGCAAAGCCACAGATAGCATCCTCTAAAACACTGGTTCTCAACCTTCTTAGACTAAAGGTCCCCCCTCGGAAAATGCCAGCTCTTAGCTTTCACTCGTTTTTTGACTATGCAAAAATAACAGAGCTATTCTTCTGTTGCAAAGAACTCAGAAAGACCACAGCAGGTCATAATGTTTTTGATATTATGGATTCCTATGTAAAATCTCTGGGTTTTTTCTTGCAAATCATGTGCAGGTGTTTGCACACCCAACAGGGCTAACACAGTGCAACCCCCTGGTTGAGAATCACTGATCTAAAAGATGCAGAGCAAGCCAGCTACACAGGCGGTAGGGATAATTCTCTGAGCCTCGTGACTTAATTCAAATAGTTTACTAAATCTCCAGATCTCTCCTGCCCAGGGCAGGGGGTTGGACTAGAAGATCTACAAGGTCCCTTCTGACCCTACATCTATGAATCCATATTTGCAAAGCTGTGCAGCACCAGAGTCATTGCACTTGATTTCTGATGCAGGCCTGGAAAGGTCTTCAGTCTTAGCTCTCCCCATCACTCTTAATGGACCCCAGAAATTCAGCATCTCCATTTTTTTTTCTCTCTGCTTCACTACTTACAGGACGTGCTGGATGGCAGAGGCTGTTCTGGTCACATTGCACAGCTGGGTGATGTTCTGGACTTTCTGGAGAGTGGCATTTGTATTCCAGCTGTCCCGCAGGTCAAACTCTGTCCTGATTTCAATGCCATACTGGACAAGGGCAAAATTACACTGGAAAGAAGGGACATACTGGGACATAAGGTTTCATTACTGCTCAAGGCAGATCCAGAGAACCCCAGCTCCTCATGAGAGTCAGTCAAGGAAATCCCAGTTGAGGAAACAGCATTAACAAGGCAGAGGCAGACAATACGAACATTTGAGGCAGAAATCACACCTACATGCTGAGGAGGTGGGTCCAGCATTTAACCTGAAAGCTGGATTAGTTTGGGGAAAATTAGGGTCTCAATAATATTAACATTTTATTCTGCATTGTCCAGTTGGAGCAGAGAATTTTAAGCACAGACTAAAATTTTTTTTTCAGGCTCTTGTTTTCATATTATTTTTTTGCTGTATGTGCAGGCAGCAGAGGGAGCAGTTTGGAGTATAACTGAGCAGACACACAGCTTTTGGCTATGCACTGGCCTTTCTCGGAGGTTTCCCATTCGGTGACTGATTCTTGACTAACGAAACGGGGGAAGAGCAACAATAGCACAATGCAGCATCTTCAGCGAGACCAACCAGACCAAGCAAAGGAGATACCTCGAAGCACTTCTTATAAACTGTTTCCATCATGGTGTAGATGAAGGCCTTCGCCCTTTCAAAATCCTCAGGCTCAATGCTCCCGGACCCATCCAAAACAATAGCAATCTCTGTTCCTGCATCTGCCAGGGACAAGAGTTCAAAGGATGCTGAGGGACATGGAGGTTCAGAGCACCTCACCCAGACCACCAGCGGTCCAGCATCGCAAAACGTTTGTAAGGACTCAATAGCCAGCTACCACAAAACCACAAAGCTGCTAGTTCACAGTCCACGTGGAGGGCAGAGCTGTTGGCAGCCACACAGCGAGTGCCCAAAATCAAGGGTAGTAAGTGATATTCAACAGCATGTTCCCTTGCAAGATATTTCCTCACTTACACATGTCGTCGTCATCCTCCATGCCAGACTCATAGCCATTATTGTTCCTGTCGCTGTTTTCATCTCTATGCCCACCTCCTTTATTTGGGGGATTTTCTACTGAAAGAAAAAGCAATTCAGTGTGAAGATGTACCTTGCAGCTATACCCTGTGCCATGATCCAGTGACAAGCCAACTCTGGGGCTTCATGCTTGTGCACTGTGCTGTCACCATCCTTTCAGTCGAAGAAGGATCAGGTTAATGTCTGGGCTGAAGACTAGCGTGAAATGGATGAGAGCCTTGCGTCTCAGATGGCCTGTTACAGTCCTGGGGTCCTTTAAAACAGGCACGCATAGTTGCTTGGGGCAGAATATAAATGAAGGGGAAGCAGTGTTAAGTGGTGAATAGCATGAACCCTCCCGTCCTCAGCCGCTGACCAAGGCAGGGGAAGGGTGACATTTGTGAGGACAGCAGAATGACAGAGCTTTTAGCAAGGGCGTCCAGAACCCCAAAAAGGAACAAACATTACCAGTGTTTGGAGAGGGAACGAGGGGAGAAAAAACTGGCATGGTTTTCCCAGCATCCATTCTGTATCGGGGGTACTGTGATCTGCCTCCAAAATAGCTGCTTCTTTGATCAAAGAGTCTTCACATTGAAGCTCATAGCCAACAGAGCCTAATCCGGGCTGAGTTTACCGCCCTGTCACCCAGCCACACTGACTATGTATAGTTAATACTGTATCGTGGTTTATGCTAGCACTCCCCACAAGTGCTTCAACAATGGCAGGAAACTTGCAGAGAAAGCTCAGCTCTTGGCTTATTACTGTGTTGCTGCATGGAACAAATCAGCCTTGGCCTGCCACATTTTACGCAACATCGTTTCCCCTCCACACCTTCCTCCCACCTGCAGGGTGTGAGGTATTTAGCTGCATTTAACACACATCTTTAACCTGCCTCCCTTAAGAGATGATCTGTGTTACCACCCAGCACTTACCTTTGATTACATGTTTGCTTCCTAAATCATCAGGTGGGTGATTGCCAGTACTACGGATGCCCAGGGGGCTGTGTGTGCTGATGAAGTCATCAGGTTTAATAACATTAACATTGTCCTTGTTGCTGCTGCTACTTTGGTGACTGCTGTTTAATTTGTTCTCAACTGTGCAAATGAAAAAAAAAAAAGGCAGGTGAAGTTTTTAGAAACACACATTTTTAAACGAAGCAGTTGGAGGCGCAGCTCCATGTCAGATCATGGTGGGTCCTGAGTCAGCCCTCTAAACTAAGAACCAATGGCACCTAGAGGCTGGCTGCCTGGCACTTGTGAAGATCGCTTTAAGCACCTGCTAATGGTTTTAAATCTGGCTGCACGTGCCCAATCCTCCAGCAGGCACAAGGCACACAACACAACATAAGTACACCCTTGTATTCCAGAACGCAGCACAAAAGCAGTCTCCTCTGTCATGGTCCCTCCCCAAAGACATGGCATTGGCTTTGTTCCATACTGATGTTGGCAAGGTTGAGGAAAGCCTCGTCTTCAAATTCAGGAGTGAGCAGGCTGCAGACTCCATTCAGGTCCTCCACGGTGCTAAAAGCTTGGCGACGCTTTTTCTGCAGACAAGCCTGTGCGGGGAGGGATGATTTACTGATGAATGGCAGCAAAAGAACCCAACAAAAGATGGCCAAAGAAGCCAAGTGGCAGCATTTCAGAATCAAACAGGCCATAGAGCCTCTCATCAAGAGTCGCCAAACCATTCACCTCTCTTACAAAGTGCTGAAAGTCTCTTAGGAGAGAGACAGAGCCATACCTGCCCTCCCCACCCCAGGGTTCCCTCTGCCAGCCTCTCCCTGTCAGGTTGGAGGGCTTCAGCAAAGCTCTGCTTCTTGTGACAGCAAAGCCCCTCCCCAGCCAAAGAGAAGGTGCCCCTGATCTCCCACAGAGTAGTGCTGTGGCTTGCAGACCTCGGCTTCCACCCATGCACAGCAGCTCATCTCCACAAGGTATTTCTGACCACCTGCGTATCGCAGAAAATGTAACTTGTCCTCTACAAGAACACACCCAAGGCCCTGCTGTATTTCCCTGTCACTTACCAGGATCCATTCTGCACTTCTAGCTATAGCTATGCCACCGTCCTGGATATTTTTTGACTTAAAAACATTTCCTGAAAATAGTGAAATTAAATGTAATCAATAAATAGAGACACAGCAAACAGGGTGGAAATACAGACAGGTGCATATGCTAATGCGCATCATCTCAGCATTCCTCATGCTTGGGCTGACCTTATAAATCCAGACCAGGGCTGCAATTATCCAGGATGGCTTTAGCTGTAGCATTTACACTTAACCCATTTGTTTATATGCTAGGTTCAGCTCTGGGGTGATAGGCTTCATGGAAGTGCACACAAGTCGTTCCCTCAGTGGTGATGGGATTTGGGATTTGGATCAAGCCTTACATGCCAGTGAAGTCTCTGTGCACTCGTCAGCTTCCCCCTTTCCCTGCTAACGTGTATCTGGATTTCTTTTTCCCATGAAACCTGGAGAGCCTAAAGTATCAGGAACCCCTCTCTGCCTCCCTCTCGTCAGCTCTGTGATGTTGCACTCTAGCGTTTGTCAGATTCCTCCCTCCCCCATCCTATTCAAAATTTACTTGAAGAAACTACTAAGAACAATGAGCTGGACTGTACCTCTCAGACCAATCTTCTTACACTCGATCGCTTCTTTGGCAAGAGTGCACTTATTCAGCCTGCCAAGCATCCTGCTTTGGTTGTTAACTGCTGAGGAAGTTGCCAAAATCCTGAAGGATATGGGGAAGTAGAAAAAAAAAAGTACAATATACAAAGGAGTGTACAAAGCAATAGACAAAGGAGTGACCAGTGTAACCCTCCTGATCAGCACGACTTCCCCTTTATTTTGCACTGTGTCACTATTATGGCTGACCGCTGGAGTGGGTTTATGTGATCGCTGCCTGGGACCAGGTCAGTAAATGAGTCACGCCTCATTTTCCTAACCCCCCCACGCTAATACACCAGCTCTCCAGGCCAGATTGCAATACTGAAGCTAAGAGTATTTGTCATTTTAATACCATGAGCTATGGACATAGCCCCCCAGTGACTGGACATATGTCCAACCACCACTTTTCCCCAAAGATATCATGGAAGATGCAGTTTTCTGGAAGGTATAAAATTCCCCAGTTTTAGAGCAAAGCGTGGGACTGAAGCATAAAACGCCTGCCAGATGAATTACACTTCTCTTTCTGCATCAGCCACTTTGTCTGCTGCAGCAGGGAGGGGGAGAGGGGGTTTCTTTTCTGCTCCAAAGCCTAAACCAGCCCTCCATTCTGCAGAAATGCACTGCCACCGCAGTGATCTCCAGACACTACGTGGGTTGTCTCCGTAATAGCCTTTCTACTTCCCCAGCCCAGCCCCCCACTTCTATTCCTGACAAACCCACGAGAACTGCATCAGTTTCTGTCTGGTTATGGTTTCCAGCCCAAGCTTGTGTCACACCTGGCTGCTGTGGGGCAGCAACAGCTGCTGCTACCCAGAGATGAGACGCAAAGCCAGGAAATGAGCAGCCCGGCAAACGCTGTAGTGGAGCGGTGGTCTAGTCACGCAGGCAGCTGCCTGTACAGCATGGTGACCCAGTTGTGGGGGGAATGCAAGAGTGAAAGCAGCTTGGAATCCAAAGCCAGTGAAACAAATGCTTTAATGCATAAATGTTACGAAGACTCCTAATTATAATGACTGGGCATAAAAGCTAATTACTTATGCACAAATTGATAAGGCCAAATGATGTTTTGTATCTCACAAGACCCTTTAAACTAGGGCCTGCCATTGTGGGTACTGGGAGCATGATGGGGATTTCCAGTGCCCCCGCGCCAGGGAACAGGCGTCCCTGAGGATCTGAGAGGGGGTTATTTCTTGACCCTTACCAGGCTTTGTGGCCATCAGAGTGCTGAAGGACCTTGGGCCAAGAAAGATGGTCTCTGTGAGGTGTCATCCACTTCCTGTTGGTGTCAATATTGAAGCCCCTCAGGGGCTGAATGGCTGAAAAAGAAAAATGTCAGAAAGGGCCACGACCTGCCAGGTGAGTTACCACTGCCCTGGTCACTGCTTACCCCTGGCCAGCGCCTTCAGCAAGGAAACAGCCAGGAGTATGATCCCGCTAAACCACAGAGCCTCACTGCTTCAGATCGAGAACTAGCACGGTCTTTCTGGTTCACCTTGGGAGACAGATGCAGTATGAGCCATAATGCTGCTCTTTACTACTTCCCTTTAAACCAAGGGACAAAAAGCAGCTCCTCCTCAAGGGTTCAGAAAGCGCAGATGCAGAGAGACCATGCCCTGACATACATCAGGAGACAACCCTGCAGAGACTTTTAAGGCTTCAAACACAGCCTAATCCGAGGGGTGGATCCAGGGAGCACTTGGAGGGCTAAGAGCAGGTTCGCACTGGTCATGAGGAGGTCAGTTCAGTGCTGGAATTAAGACCTGCAAGGCAGGAAACTTATCCTAGTTGCAGCACAACTGGATTCCCTTCCCCACCCCATTCTTGCTCCCAGCTGGTAAGAAATCACTGTGGCTTGTGCAAGCATCATATCACTGAGGATCTTTATCAGTGAGGTCAGGACTGGTAAAAAAAAATGTTACTCAGCAACCTTGGAGGCTGAAAGCATTTACCTGCAGAAGACAGCTTGGACAGCAGCAGGATTCACTTTTTCCAGCCCCCAACCATCTGTGCTTAAAACCCCCACCCAGCACAGCCAAGTCTAGTGGGATGAGAGTGTGGAATTCATGGGGACTTCTGCCCTTTTTGCTTCCTTTTCTGAGAGTCCTGATGAGAGGAGAAATGAATGCCCAACATAGAGTCAGGTGTGGGGATGTGGATGCAGCACCAGAGGCAAACGATTAAATACACAGCCCTCAAATGTCACGCAAACTCCATGCTGTCCCAGACCAAAAATGTTAGTAAGCAGGACAACCTAAAAGACACACAGAACGTAGGGTGCAATGACAAACACCAGTTGAAATATCCAGTGTTTGCAATGCCCTGACAATTCAGAAAACTCAGCAGTTTGCTCACAGATGAGCCCCCCCAAGCCGCTCTGGTTCCAAACTCTGACAGTGCCTTTGAGATCCTAAACGAAAACTGGATTAACATTTTGTAAGTTCTCCTGCTGTGACCAGCCTGACCTGCCACTGCAGGCTGCGTAGCTCACATCCCCCTTCGAACAGTCAGTCCCACGATTTTGTCCATTGTCCCTTCTGCTTTTCAGACTGTGGGAGAGTCAGATTCTGTTTGTGTTCACACTGGGGGGCTGGGATGGTCCTGTGACCAAGAGCAGAGGTGGATCTTACAAAACGCATGGAAACAAAATCATTGCCCAGCCAACCTGGCTGCCAAAATACAGCTTGGGGGTAGGAACTGAAATACTGTGGCCAACACAGTTTCCTGTGGCAGACTGTGTTCTTAAAGCCTTGCTGCTTCTTCCTTAGACATGCTACTTTTTGGTTTGGTGTGCAACTTATTTTGGAACTTGGGAGGCCTAATCCAGGCCACCTTTCTGCTTTGCAAACCCTGTGCTAGCACTCAGACACCTGACTCCTGCACTCTTGCATCTAACTGCAGTTATTTTAACCCCAGGCTTTTTGCCTCTGCTGCAGGCTGGCATGACGTACCTGCCTCTGACACATGCACCATGTGCAAGACAATCTGCAGCAGCTTCATCCTGCTCTGGTTGCTGATTTGCTATTTGCATCAGAACAAAGACTATTTCTAGCTCTCAAAGTGTCCAAAGAAATCCACAGCCTATGTTAACAGTCGCATTTGAGGTAGCCCAGTGCTCCTCTGTTTCCATATGTGGCCCACTGACCTCAAAGGGGTTGTACTGATGATACACAAGAGAATTTCACCTCTAGTCCCTGTCGTACTTTGGGACCCCATTCTGAACTCAGTTAAATTGACGTTAACTAGAAGCAATTCCAGTTTATTCAATTAGATTAACACCAGATTTATGACAATGTCATTTATATAAAATCCTAGCCCCCTGTAAATAAAGACAGATCATTACCACTACCAAATATACAAACATACATTAAACCATCCGTTACAGCCTGTAACATTTTCTACTTCTAAAAACACCAGTCGTGCTGATTATCAGCAATCCTTCGGCACTTGGCTCTGTGCTTGCAGCTCCATGTTATTAGCCTACTAATCATCATATATAGTTCCTGGGAAGAGATTTTCCAAAGAAAGTGTGCCGGTTACATTGACATGCATCCTTAATACAAACTGGTACACTGCAGACATTCCTGCAGAGCTTGTCACAGTAGGAAGGATGCAGGACACCGAAGGAACTTTCCACTATTTGGTTAGAAACAGAAGTTATTAAAGAACCCATATGTGGATGTCCCTACGTATCGTTGTTATAATTCATGGGTCCCCAATCTTTACTGACTCATGAACTACAATACTGAGTCAGTAACACACTGAGGGCAACACTACACTTTGCTCTCTCCATTCTGTTTTAACTTTTTATTATCCTGTGTGGTGGTGAGCAATGCTGGAAGGTCTATGGGGAACATGTTTCCTGTGAGTCTTGAGTTGGGGGTCACTGCTATAGTTGGTCGTGATTGCTCCTTCAAACTAATCCTTTTTAGTGAGCCTCCCTTGTGATCTCAATTTACTCCCTGCCTGCCACCGTCATCCCACCCTCTGGATTCACGTTGGTTCATCTTGTTTCACTTAAAGCTCGCAGTCTTGAGAACGTGCCTGTTAGCAAAGCTCTGTAGGAGCCGACAATGCTATAGTTGCACCACTACAGACTCACTGCATGTTGTGGGTTTCTTTTTCAGTCATCATAATTTGTTTCAGGTTTCCAGTGAGAGAAAAAAAAGGCTAGACACCATCTCACTGAGAAGTGGAAGGCTTTATTCAATAGCTCTAGCACTGAGGTCCTTGCAAAAGACATCACTCGTGTTTCATGGGGTTCATGGCACTTAGAGGCAGGTCTGCAGAACAAGGACAGGACTAGGGGGATGCTTCTAGAAATGTGCATCTTTGGTTGGGAGAAAAAAAAAAAAAATGGATCGGGTCGCTCACCATAACACCCCTAAATTGAAATGGTGAAATTTTAATTGCAATTAAAAAACAAAGAAACACCATTTCAATTTAGGGAACTAAACCCCCATCACATGCACAAGCAGCTCAGAACTAAAAGCATAACAGTAATGCAACAGGGCCCCTCCGCAGCTCAAGTCCCCTTACAACTGCATGGTTTGCAGTGGGCATGGTTGGCCTCTGAGCCCCTCCTATCAGACATGGTTTTTAAAAATTACGACTGTCTTGAAATCACTTGAAAGGCAGACTTCTTCAAGTCGAGGAGACGCCATCCGAGCAAGACCGGTGACAAAGGCAGGGAGTGCTAAGGTAAGGAACGGGGGTCCAGACAGTCTCCCTAATCGGGGGGTGGCACACACAGTCTTGCAAGGCCTTAAATGCCTATATACCAGTGCTCGCAGTATGGGGAAGAAACAGGAGGAACTCGCCCTCAGAATAGCTAGTTCAAACCCAGACGTCATAGGGCTAACAGAAATGTGGTGGGATTCGTCCCACGACTGGGCAGTTAACATTAGGGGTATAGGCTTCACAGGCGGGATAGAGAAGGGAGGAAAGGCGAGGATG